GGGAGGGGAGGGAACAGAGAGAGACGGGAAGGGAAGGGAAGGGAGAATGGGACGGGAGGGGAGGGGCTGGGCCTGCGCCCCCTGCGCCGCCCCCATGTCTCCCCTGCCCCAGCAGCCACAGCATCGTTGGGTAGGTTTGGGCACCCCAGTTCAGACCCAGGTTCAGCCAGGGCAGCACCCTGCCCACCATGCCGCCGTCCAGGAAGGTCGAGCACCCACAGAGGCCCCTTGGCCAGAGCACCCCCACAGGAACCCCACAGGTTTGAGGGGAGCCCAGGGCTTGGCGCTAGGGGAGAGCATTACGGGCGCACTTTTGCCTGGCCAGAGGAACAAGGGTCCCTGCCAGTCTTGAGATGGGTGGGCACCAGATCCTCACCCCCAGACCAGGAGCAGACCAGTCGGTCGCTCACCGGCAGGTTTCAGGGGTGGGGGCTGCTGGGCTTTGGCCCTTTCCCAGGGGTCTCAGGCCCTCAACTTCCCAGGGTAAACCGGACACCTGAGGATGGCCTCCCAGCACATCCCTGGCCTCCAGCAGCACCTCGGGAGGCTGCACCTGGGACCCCACACTGATCCTTCAGGGCCTGGAGGTGGGTGGCCCGAGACCTCTTTCTGGGGTTATGGTTTCTGGGACAGAGCTGGCCCCATTTCTGGCATCCCAGGCCTCAAGTCCCAGCCCCAGTGCTCCTGGGGTCCCCTGCGCTTGAGAAAAGGTGGAGAACCCTCTGCAGGGCCAGACCTTGGAGCATGCCTCCACTGCCCTCCCAGGACTGGATGTGCTAAGCAGGAGACGGAAGCATTCCCCAAGCCCTCACGCTCGCCCCCACCCTGGGTCACCCCTCCCTGGGGCCGGCCTTCCACCCAGACCTGCCCAGTCCTTGCAGCTGGTCGGCTTCCTCCTGTCCCCAGCCAGGCATCCCCTCCTCCCCTGCTTCCCCTACTTGGGATCTGCCCTGCCACATCCTGACAAACTCTCCCAGCCTGACTTAGTTCTTTCGGTCTCTGCCTTCTCCCACCCTCAAGCAGCCAGGCCTTGTTCCTGCCCAAATCTTCCCTTGGGCCTTGAACCACAATCCACATTGCGGCCACCCTCCCCTTCACTGCAGAGGACCCCAAAATTACCAGGGTCTGACAAGGTTGCCAACATTTTATCAAAAAAGGAAAAGACAAGGCCTGTGTCACAAAAGGACATTTTAATACCAAAACCGTGGGAAGGCCTCTGTTCTAGACCAAAAGGGAGTCTTTAAATAGCCAGCAGGAAGCTTGAGGCTGAGCAGCTGTTCTTCCTGTCCCTGAGCAGGCCCTGTGTGCACCCTCAGCCCCCAGCCCCACTCCAGACCTGCTCCCAGTTCTCTCCACCCTCTGGGTTCTGTGGTCCCTGTCCTTCAGGAGGCCTGTAACCACAGCAGTCCTCACCCTTGCCAACAGTTCTGCCCAGCAAGCCCTCTTGCCTGCGGGGGCTGGCACTGTGGCCAGGGGTAGAGCTTTCTGGACCTTCCTGTCTCTTCACTGCCTGCCCCTGGCCTGGTGTGCGTGGGGAGGGGAGGGCCATGGCCCAGCCCTGGACAGAGGCTCAGTCAACTCAGAGCGGCCTTGACACTGGGGGGCCACAAGAGGCATCGGGACAGATGGAGCTGGCAGGTCTCCATGCCCAGCCCCCACCCATTCACCCCAGGCCACATTCCACCCCAGGCCTCTTCTGCATAGGTGGGGACAGGCCCTGAGGAAGAGGGGCTGGGACACTACCCTCCACCTTAGCCTTGGCTTCTGCCCAGGGCAATGCTGGCCGCCTGGCCCAGTGCCCCCCACCAAGTCTCCCACCCGCCCACCTATGTGGCCTTACCAGAGCCCTCCAGGGAAATCTGCTTGTGCATTTCTGGACAGACAGTGGCCAGGGTCCCTGGGGGGTTCGGAGACTAGCCTGAAGCCCCTCCCTGCAGCCCTGTGGGTCTGCAGCCCTCCGTGCTGTGGGGCAGCCCTCAGAAAGCCGTGAGGTGAGACTGTGGTGTGGGGAAGCACATGCCACCATGGTCCTTGGGGTGCACTCCCCAAAGGGGGGCCACAGTTGTGAGAGGGACGGATTGTCTTCCCAAGCTTCCTCGACACCTTGAAGTGGTGGTCCTCAGGGGACAGGCCACCAGCACAAGGCTTTTGCAGAGGGCCCTGGTGGAGGGCAGCTGATGGTAGGGCCTATACTGGCCCCCAGGCCCCATCTTACGGAGGTCAGTGTTCAAGCTGGTCACACAGGAGGTGCCAGCATCTCTGCAGACCCTCTAGAGACCAAGCCCTCAGTAGGGAGGCTGGTCCCCCCATGCTACAGTTGGGAGGCCCAAGCAGAATTTGAGGCCAGGACCTTTCTCACCCTCAGGTCCCCGGCTGGCCCCTGCCACAGAACAGGTTTGCCGCCTCAGCCTCTACGTGTTCTGTTTAACGTGGTCACGTCCTTGGACCCTGCACCAGACATCTGGGCTCGACAGCTCCCCTTTGTCACCCTCCCGGCTGCCTCTGTGTCCTTGTGTGTAGAATGGTGACAGGGACAGGCTGTCCTGGGCACAGTCTGGCTGGACAAGTTGACATGTACCAAGTTTTGAGAACTACCTGTCGTCCAGACACCTGACCCCGCTGTCCTCGTGGCTCGGTCACGCCCTGCACTGAAGTGGCTGGCAGTGCTCACTCTACACCGCCTGGCTGGAGGATGTGGTCCGAGACCACCAGTGAGAACACGAACAGTACATCGCGCACGCGTGCTGAACGAAGGCTACCTTCTACAGACTGAATGGGGGCCTCAGAAGAAAAAGGAAAGTCCTTCCCCCAGCCCTGTGTCCCCTGGCCAGCACCTGCCTGGCTTCGCAGGGTACAAAGCCCATTCTCCATGAGTGACCCTCCCAGCACCATGTCGGGCATCTGCACTGCTGGGTCGCTCAGGCAAGGAGTCTGAGGGTCTGAGTGGTCAGGGGACCTATTCCTGGGCACACAATGTGTGATGCTGAGCGGGGCTTGGCTGTCCAGAGCCCTGACAGTACCGTCACCGTGTGCTGCACAGTGCCAACACCGTACCCATGGGCCTCAGTGCCTGCAGGTGTCACAGGGGGAGCACATGACCCAGAGGTGGCTCTTAGGGATCTTCACCCTTTACCAAGGAAAGGGAGACATGCAGGCTTCAGCCAGAGGCAGGGTCAAGCCGAAGTCCAGAGCCCCTTGGGCTGCATGTGGGGCATGGACGGACACACTTGGACGACAGGAGCCTTGTCCACCTCCCAGGAGGGACATACGGAGCTGGTGCATGGTGGGGGCTCCAGGATTGGGAACCAGGAAGGTGCTGTGGACCCTCTGAGGGTCAGGCTGAGCCAGCTCTCCTAGCAGAGGTGCTGGGCCCCACACCGCCCCCTGCCCAACCCCTACCTCCCAACAAACCACAGCCCCAAGCAGGTGGGGGCCCAGAGGGGCATAAGGGGTGGTGGGCAGAGCTCTTCACACTGCAAAGCAGTCTCTCTCCTTCTCAAGTTGATGACTGTGTGCAAAACAGCCTCCCATCCCCAGATAAGACGAGTCAGCGGCTGGTCAGGAGAGGGTCCCTCCTGTCCTGGGCAGCCTGTTGGGCTGAAGGAACCACCACACACAGTGCAGGGGGCTTGGGGGCCAACAGATGGGCACCGGGAGGGGCAGACGGTAGACGCACCCACATCAGCGAGGGCTCCCAGCCTGTCCCCGCCCCAGTCCCAGCCTAAGGTCTGTGGAGGCCAGGTGGGGCCCAGGAGGAGGCAAGGCTCCGCCTGCATGGAATCCCTACGGTCAGGGCCATGCTGTGGTTCCAAATGTCGCCTTTACTGCTGAGACAATGGAGGAGCCTGCAGTCTGGGCGGGGGGCCAAGGAAGGGGAGCGTGTGCTTGGCCCAGTGCCGCCGCCACTGGGGAGCAGGAGGCTCAGGCAGACCTAGGGCCCTGGGACCGTGGCCCTTGGCTCTGTCCTAGGGAGGGCACAGGACGGCCTGCAGGTCTTTGGGCAGGGAGCCGATGACCGTCTCGATATACAGCTGGGCCCGCTGCAGTGTTGCCTCCTTCACAGGGAGCTGGTGGCTCTGAGCCCGCACCTGCAGGGGCAGCTGTGGTCAGGGCAGGCGCAGCTCCGTGCCAGGCTGGTGGCGCTGGGACAAGGCTGGGAGGCATCTTACCAGCTTCTCACGAAGTTTCAGGACCAGGTCCACGACCTCCACCTCGGACTTGTCTTTCATCCAGGTCTCGATGTTCTGCAGGGTAAGATGGGGTCTGCTGTCAGAAAGGCCCCCCACTGCCCTGGGCCTGTGCCCACCCCCACCACGTTCTGGCCCTCCCCAACCCCCAGCCTCCCTCACCGCCTCACAAATAGCCTCCAGGTGCAGGGCCTCCAGCTTCAGGGCCATCTCCTTGTGCCGCTGCCGGTACCAGCCGTCAAAATGGGGGGACTTGAAAAACCGCCTGTGGGGATTGACAGGCAGGGCCCCGGGGCTGACCCTGGGGA